TCTCTCCTTGGTACATTAATCTCAACACCGTTATAATCACTACTTTGACTACCTCGATGTTCGGTAGACATATGCCCACTCTTTGTTGTCGGTGCCTCGTGACTCGACCTTTCCCAACCACCCAGATACTTCGAATCACTACAACCACCCTTTGATGTCTTTACGCCTCTGCCCATCTTACAGACCTCTCTATGCATAAGAAACTTAAATTCAAACTAAAATTACATTATAACTTAAGTGCTAACATACTTTCTCTTCAATTCAGACAAATGAATAATCTCAACATGAAATTGCACATAGTCACGATAATAATTGCACACCGGTATAACTATTTGGCAACCAAAAACATGCAATTGCATGAACTCATGACCCAAAATACATTCAACTCCTAAACTAGAAAAAGAGGGTCATTTGAACTCTTACTTGATGCTTCCAAATGTTCAACTCCTCCTTCATCAACTTCGTTTCACCAACAACTCAAATGAGGAAGCAATGTCGTTGTTCAAAGCCAAGGAGGTTGTAAATCTTAGAAATCTTTGTGACGACGCTATTTTTTTTGTCAACTCGGAACTCATAGCTACTATTACATATCCATTCCCACTGATGTCGTCAACAGTCAAACTCCTCTAGCATCCATCCTTTCTTGTTTCTTGTGTTCGAGACTGAGTATTGTAGATCGATTTGATGTAGTACCCGCTGGAATGGGCTTCAAAGCTCATATAAACATAGAGAAGTAGGCGATCTTAGGTCAGGCCGATGGCACCCTTCAATGTGTGAGATTGAAGTTCTGTATCAGCTTCATCGATTGATGTTGTTGAAGTAGCGGTTGACACTTCAAACAAATTAAACTAAATACCTCTCAATTCGGTGAGCATTAGATGAAATGGAAGCCCCATTGAGAATGTATAGCCTAATTGAGTAAGGTTTTGCCTATGAATTGTATCTTTATGCAGATGGGTTTTGGGCAAGTAGAGAGAGGTGTTGGAGGACCTCGTTGAGGATTGGATGAGATGGATGGTCGCAAGCGCCTTAGGTTTTCTTGTGGACGACCTCCATCGCGTGAGTCTGGATCTCTTTTCCTTTCTCACAGTCATATGTGACTCACATGATGTTCAATAAGAAATGGCTAAACAAGTTATTAGGTCATTCAATCTTAGCCCTTAATTTTTAAAATCCAATTTCAGCCCTCGGATAAATGACTACACCTACACCATCAATGTACCACTGAATTTTTGCCCAATAATAGCCCCTGTGGAACCTATACCTTTTAGTTGGTGATTAAACGTTAAGAAACAGTTGATACAACAAGAATTGAGTTGAAGAAATATTATTAAGGACAAACTACATAAAACCCCCCAAACTATAGGGTTATTTTCAAGTTCATACCCAATTTTAGAGACATTTAGGAGTACATGCTCAAACTCCCGGAAAACTACAAATTACCCCCTCTGTTAGCCAAACCGTTAGTGAATCTGTTAAATGCTGATGTGGCATATGTGGGTTCCATTTTTTTTATTGACGTGGACTTATATATGGACAAATAAATAATAAAAAATTATGTACACGTTAAAAATAATTTTTAAATCATATTAAAATCACTAAATAAAAAATAAAACCAAATCTCTTTCTCTCTCCTTCTCCCTCCCAACCCACCCCACCCCAACTTCTCCAGCATAGGCCCAGCCGCTAGCCATTATCAATAACGCAATCAATATAATTGGCCTAGAAATTAAGACTCTAAAAAGAACAGATTGTACTACAGGCTGAGATCTCGTGAGGTGGAATGAGAACCTACCCCACATTTCCCTGCCAAAAGAAAGGTCTCTTCCATGAGAAGAGTATGGTTCAGATCCTCTTTGGCGTCATTAAAAGCAGTATAATTTTCATCAGTCCAGAACCCATTCCATAACTCCAGAACCAACTAACAAAAAATCCCCAAAAGCTCAACAGAAATGCAAATCAAGATTCACCAATCCAAACATCGAATTTCAAATCTCTATAGGATAATTCATACTTGCGTGGATAGCAATATATAGAAGGCAAATGATCAGACTTGCGTGGATCAACGGATCTCACAATGATTTTGGTCTTGAGGGCCTCCTCTTCCCTCTTTGTCGTTGTCTTCTTCTTCTTCAAGCTACTCTTGGGTTTCTTCAGAGCCAAGTTCAGAGTGGAAACGATGTTGTTTGTCGAGTTGGAGATCTCACCCAACACAACTCGCTTCTTGGGAGCTAGAATTTGTAGGGACGGAGCGATCAAAGGTTGTGGCTGGGCCTATCCTGGAGAAGTTGGGGTGGGTTGGGAGGGAGAAGGAGAGAGAAAGAGAGTAGGGTTTGGGGTGGGCGATGGGAGAAAGGTGGCTGAGAGCTAGGTGATAAGATTTTTAGTACCTGTGCAAATAGAGTTAAAATCACATAAAATACTTGCAAGAATACAAGGCTATTGTAGTATAGATGCTCATGCAAGGTCATTCTCCTCAAGGACTATTTAGCAATTTATGTAAAAACAATTTCCAATTAACTACCTAAAATTAAAGGTTTAGAAAGATGTTTGTGAAATTGGTTGACACTAAAAACAAATTTTAAAAAAAAAAACAACTACTATTGAAGGAAAAAGTTTCAAATACCAATTTATAAAAGCACTAGGGTTTCACCATCACCTAACAATCCTATGAATTTTTACTAATTACTTATGATTTGCACATGCCACTTTGGAGGTTAGGTTTTCCTAATTTATACTCTACTTGGAACCTCCAACATAGAACGTATATCCAACATGCAACTCGTCTGGACGTTCGGATCAAATCTGAACATGAAAGATTCATTAAATTCTATGAAAACCCTTTAAAAAACCATGCAACCCTTAAGACATGGTGTTCATCTTAAGTGAAATTACAATTATTAATCACAAGAAGCCAGAGTCAATTTTAGGGAACCTTCCGACCAAATTGCATCCAATTACTTTTCTGAAGATCCTAATGGTGATCAGGCATTAAGATAATTAGATAGTTTAAAATAGTGATTAACAATTCAAAGTATGCATGCACTCAATCATAAGCAATTAAATAAAAATCACATATTCATGCTAAGGTTCAAGGCTTCACACTAGCAAAAGAAAATTAGTTACGCATATTCATAATTGAAATCCAAGAAAATATAATTAAGAAGGAAAAGAATGAAAACACCTTAAAGTCGCAAAAACCCAAAACCCTAGCAATTGCTCTCCACAATGTCATGTTCAAAAGTGAAAAAGAAGTCCCAAAATTGGTGTGAAAACCAACTTAGGGGGGTGTATTCAATTAGGATTTTAAAAGACTATTTTGGGATAAATAAGTCTTGTGGTATTCAATTAAGACTGTTAAATAATCTAAACAAATCTTGTGGTATTCAATAAGCACTATTAGCCATGCCACAACCCACTCAAGCAAGCCCCGGGTTTTTTGAGTGGCTTGGGCCCACCTAGGCTTGTAGCGTGGTTGGATGCGAGATAACGGCATGGCATGTTGCTTGGCATATTTTAATTTATCGCCCTTGGGAAGAATTGTTTTAATCTTAGCATGAGTTAATCATATATATTCTTTTTTTTTTTTTATCGCGAATCATAGCATGATAATTTGTTTATTTAGCACGGCATGTGGATTATAACTTGCATGTGGTAGACCCTTTTTCCTTTCTTTTTCCTTATGGAATATTGTATCGGGCTGATAATTGCTTGGGCCCAATCCATGGATTTTTTGGGCCTCAACAATGGGTACTTTGCTTTTTACATGTTTTTGAAAGGCTCTGTTGCTGTTGAGATATCTTCCATATTTTCGTATATGAATATATTCATGCTTCTTGTTGTTGCCTGGCTTTGGGTTTTCTTTCCTTTCTTCCCCCTTTTATTTTTCCAAGCTTTGCTTGTGACGTTTGTTTGGTTGGATTGAGGGTTGAGATGGGGTGTTGTTGATTTGGATGAATCTTTGTTGTAATAATAAAATAGCACTCAAGAATGAAATAAAATAAGCAGTTAGTTGAAATCAATATGCTTATTATTGTTGTACCTGGAAGCAATTGTTTTTGGTTTTCTTGTTTGGTATGATATGTATTCTTGTGAAATAACTAATAAATTTCTTACATATATTGTAGTAGTAATTTAATGGGGGATTCACAACAAGGAAATAACAAAGGAAAGGGCAAAGAGAAAGAGAACTATGAATCTTGGACCATGGACGATACCAATGAGTTGTTGCATCTCTTGGTGGATGCTATCAATAGTGGATTGCGTGATGCTAATGGGTCACTTAGCAAGCAAAATGTAGAAAGAGTGATACTTCCTTGTCTTAATGCGAAAATTAGGTTCCCTAAAACTTATAATCATTATTTGAGCCGAATGAAGTGGTTTAAGAAGCAATATAACAAGATGTCGATGCTTATGCGTAACAACTCTGGCTTTGGGTGGGACCCAATTGCAAAGACGTTCACTGCTAGTGAGGAAGTATGGAAAGATTACTTGAAGGTGAGCTTAATTCATAATCTTTTAAATATATTACTAGCTTACGAGTTTAGTACATTATGTTATTTGCAATATATTAACAATGAATAATTTGTTCTTTGCTAGTCCCACCCAAGTCACAGTAAACTTCGAGAAAAAAGTGTAGTTGATTATGAGGATTTGAAGATTGTCGTTGGGGGTGGAACTGCTACTGGGAATGGTTCCATTGCATTAGGCGCTGATGATACGCATAATGTCACAACCGAACATATATGAAGGTAATGACATAGAGGAAGAAGAAATTGATGATGAAGATATAGATGATGAAGAAATAGATGAAGAATTTTATGAAGCCATTTACAGTTCAGTGATGGCAATTTATGCAGTAACTTTGATTTGGAATTCATATACGTTCTTAGCGGGTGGGAGAGTTCAGCTCATGATTCAAAGCTACTAAATGATGCTTTATCAAGGAGGAAAGGACTTAAAGTGCCCCAAGATAATTACTTATTTTAAATGATAAATATATATTTTTTTAACTTTGCATACTAATTTTATATGTATTGTATATATAATTAGGTAAATATTTCCTAGTGGATTGTGGATTTCCTAAGCGGCTCCAATTTTTAGCTCCATTTCGAGGTGTGTGATATCATCTCCAAGATTTTGCAGGTCATGGTAATGACCCTTAAAATGAAAATGAATTGTTCAATCTTCGCCATGCGTCATTGAGGAATGTGATCGAGAGGATATTTGGCATTTTTAAATCACGGTTCACAATTTTTAAGTCAGCGCCTCCATTTCCATTTAAGACACAAGTAGAGCTTGTGTTAGCATGTGTAGCACTACATAACTTTCTTCGCAAAGAGTGTCGTTCTGATGAATTTCCAATTGAACCAGTGGACGAATCTTCTTCATCTTCAGCGTTTATGTTATTGCTGATGCAAGTGCCCACAACTAAGTTGGTTGGTTATCGTACAAATAAAAAATCCATGTGGTCCTTTCAAATCTTATAAATTCTTATGATATAAATCTTTAAAATCCAAACATAAAAAATCCTGAGTATAAAAAATCTTTCAAAAAAATCTTATAAGTCATTACATTCTTAAATAGTCTTTTAAAACCCACTGGACTTATTTATCCATAAATAGTCTTTTAAAATCTCAATTGAATACACCCCCCTTAAATACCTCCTAAAACCTAGCTGCCCAATCCCCACAAGGAAACTAAGTTAAAATAAAATAATACATGATATAAAATACAAATTGGATTACGAGAATCTACCTACAATCTGCTCAGCTACGTTTTAGCCTTAAATCTCCTCCAAATCCAGCCCAAGATAGCTTGTTTTAAAGATAAAAACATTCTAAACACTTCTCCAGAAGTCCACAAACCCATCCGAGGTCATTTTGAGCTCCAAAATGCAATAAAAGCCCAAAACGTCACTATTCCAGCACCGTGCACTGCTCTTTTATTTTATTGCCAGAAAATAACCGCTTGGTAGAAAAATTTGAAATTTTGATAAAATCAAGCTAAGTGACTCACGAACACCCTCTAACTAGAATTACTCCAAAATTCGTCTATTTGATTATGTTTTGCTCCAGAGGAATTCAAAAGTCCTATATTGGAAATATAATTCAAAGTATCAAAATTCTTCCAAAATATTAACCAAAATATATGAAGAATGAGATTAAATATATAATATAAAATATACCCATTACTGGGGTTGAGTATGGAGGTTGAGGCTGGGTAGGAGAAGAGAGAAGAGATTTTTTTTATTAATTTTTTAATGATTTTAATATGATTTAAAATTATTTTTAACATGTAAATTATTTTTTATTTTTTATTTGTCCACTGTAAGTCCACGTCATTAAAAAATGAAATCCACATTCGCCACATTAGCATTTAATAGATTCACTAATAGAGCGTTTGGATGAGAAAATTTAAAAGTATAAAAGATTTCATATATGACGGAATTTAAAATAATGGAAATTAAGGGCCTGTCTGGTAATGTTTTCGGAGAATTTTTTAGAAAATGAAAACGAGAAAACGAATTTGTTTTCAAGATTCGAGAATGCGTCTAGTAACTTAATTAGAAAACAGTTTCAGAAAATGAAAATAGTGAAAATGTGTATGGTAGTATAATTTGAAAATAGCAATAACAAAATTGGTTAATTATGTGATCAATATGGTGAGTTTCATACCAAGAAAAAACAAGTGAGTTATTTTTATTAATGCCTCCTCCAAAAAGAATGTAATTTTTTTGGAAAAGAAAAAAAGAATAATGTATAAAAAGAATTTTCTTTTAAAAAAATTAAAATGAACTGAGAAAAAACAAATGAACTGAGAATTTTCTCTTTTAACTTTCTGCAAATCCCACCCCACCCCATTGCACCCACGCATCACTATCGTAGAACTCACCTCTCTCCCTCTCCCAATCATCTTCTTCATCACAGCACAGTGAGCACCCAAACAAGATTTGATGAGCTAATCTAACAGAAGACACATTAATTTCACCAGAAAAAAGAAAAAATGAAGACCCATATGTATCTAACTAATGAGAAGATCCAGTAATTTCACCGAAAAAAATAAAAATTAGAAATTTATTAGAAGAGCTAGTGTGGGAAATTGACGAGAGCTTTAGATAAATGGGGTGCTGGAGGTAAATAGAAGAGCCATTGTAGTGAGAGACGCAAAATCGGTTTTTGCTTTTCCATTGAAAATGCTGAAAACATTATTTCAGTTTTTTCACTTTTTGTACATGGTTTATAATTCATTATCTAGAATTTGTAAAGTTTCTTGTTTGGGTGACTGATTTAAAACATGGAATTTAACTTTTAATTGTAAAGTTATCTTTTTTTTAAAACTCAATCTCTCTTGGGACTTTAGAAATGACGACTTTTAAATAGAATTTAAACTTGGGATTTATGATCTCCAAATTCTATGTTTTTTTCCACATGGAATTTCTAAATTTCTATGTTTTTTTATCCAAACACCGGAATTGGTTCATGTCAATTTAGGGGGGTGTATTCAATTGAGATTTTAAAAGACTATTTATGGATAAATAAGTCCAGTGGATTTTAAAAGACTATTTAAGAATGTAATGACTTATAAGATTTTTTTGAAAGATTTTTTATACTTAGGATTTTTTATGTTTGGATTTTAAAGATTTATATCATAAGAATTTATAAGATTTGAAAGGACCACATGGATTTTTTATTTGTACGATAACCAACCAACTTAGTTGTGGGCACTTGCATCAGCAATAACATAAACG